AAGGTAAAATAGACTTACATTCGTGTGCTACTTAAATTAGTAATTGGTTCTAACAAATTAGAAAAAAATAAATAAATAGGGATAGTTTTAAAAATATAAATAATGATTAATATCAGAAAGTTTGTGAAATTAATAATTATTACCGGCTACTCAATGTGGGTATGAATACATAAAAAGAAAACGTACATTGTATTATTATTCAATTATTGAATAATTTGTCATCAGAAAGTAAGAATTAAGTTAGGAAGAGAGAGAGGAAAAATAATAGAGGAAAATATAATAGAATGTATGTAGAGGAAATGAAAGAGGAATCTATGTTAAAAAAAGTGAAGGAATAAAAATAAAAATAAAGGAGAATATACATGTAAGTTAAAAGTAAACAGATGCGAAAAAGAGGAATCTAATGTTAAAAAAAAATAGTGAAACAAGATGGGAAAAAATAACCAATAAAAAAAAAATGTTTACTACAATCATATCTATTAATGATACTGTATATTTGTACATTAGTTTTAAGAATTGTGATATTGATAAGTATATGTAGCAACCCTATGTAATTGGGCAGCACCCTTTTATAAAAATAACGAGTTTCTCTTTCCCTCTACAGAAAAAATAAAATCACATTTGAAAATGAGAAAAGAATTTAAAATTAGGTGTTCCCAGAATTGAAGCAATATGAAGATATAATTTAACCAAATAAACACTCTTAATTTTTTTTTCCTTTCTTTGGACATTTAGAGGATAATCTGTCCCCCTCTTCAGCAGAATTACAGAAATACATTATAGGTTCTATATTTAACTAGTCATTTAGAATTAATATGAATAAAAAAATGGATGCTCGTTGGGGGTGAGTGGACAGTCAACTGTATTAGAATATCTTTAATTATTAAAATACTTTATTTTTTAATTTATTGATTTTTTTCTTAATAATAACATTAAGTTATTACTTCATAACGTTGATCTTTCTTCATTAATTATTTTTATAACCTGCTGCCCATAATTATAATTTAACAAAACAAACACACTTAATTAATTGATGTTTTTGTTTTCTTTATTTGGACGTTTTACGGATATTTTTAAGGATACTCTAATCTCCTCTGAAGTACATATAATTACACAACCATAGTTAATAAGTTCTATATTAAACCAATCATTTGAAAATATTTAAAAAAAAATTAATTTAATTTAATTAATTTCCTATATAAAACCATTAAAATAAAAAAAAAGTTAGTCACTTAATATGCCCCAGTATTTGGTCACTTCTGAAACAAGGCTGGTCAATGAAAAAACATTCTTTCTACTAAGAAGAACAAACGACGTTTAAGGTTGAGGAGAGTAAATACTATATTTGTTCTTTTATAATTTGATACAACGTATTCCACGCAATAAACTATAGTTCTTCCTTTATATTTGTTTGTTTTTGATATTTTTAAAACGAAATCTTTGAAAAAGAATTTTAAAAAACACAAAAACTCAATATTACCAAACCGAAATCAAACAACTCCAACTTTGTTAGAGGACAACAGCATTTTTTTTTTTTATTTATTTAATAATAAACAATCTGCCACACCCAAGGGCAATAAGTATTCGATCTAAAGGTATCCAGTCATACAATAAATACACACAAGAAAAATAAATGAAAGTAACTAAGAACAAATAAAATAAATAATATAAAGTAAAAATGAACAAACAAAATATAAAATAATAATAATTAGTAATGAAGAAAGTATAAAAGTAAAAAATATATGACTTCATAAATAAAATAATACATATAAATACATAATGGTCTCAAAATCTGTAGATAATAAAAAGTAAATTAAAGGTGAATACAAAAAAAAATTAAATAAATAAAGTTCATATAAAACTCATTCACCAGTATACAATACAACCAATGCTAGGACAAATAATGTATGTAAATTTTAATGTTTCTTAAAAAAAAAATAGTTTTAAATAGGAAATAATTTAAATTAAATTAATGTTTTTTTATTAATTTTAAATTAATGGATCAATATAGGAATTAAATTTATTATTTATGTTATTATATATGCTGAAGAGAGGGATAGAGTATTCCAGAAACATCCAAATTCAGAAAACCCTATTAATTATGAGTGTTTATTAAGTTTAACAAGAACTATGAGCAACAAGTACGAAATAATAATTTATAATGCATGGCGAGAATTATAAATTAATAAATTAATGTTATTATTAAGAAAACAAAATAATAAATTGAATATATATATATATATATATATATATATATATATTAAAAGATACCCTAATACAGTTAACTGCCCACTCATCCCCAACAGGCTCTCAGCCAAGACCATTTACACTACTACATACGTTTATTGATCTCAGCGAAAATTGGTTGGGGGGAAGGAGTATTGTGTTCTATTGAAAATGACATCATGTCTGTTTTTGTATTGTTCCCGATAAATGTGTAGTTATTTATAAAAGTTTTATAAGAACAGTTTCCAAAATAACACAGCGATAAGGACATTTCTATTCTATCCTATAAAAGCACCTAAAAAATTTATATAAATAGGCAACTTCTCAACTGTTAAATATTAAATAAGTACATAACAATAATATAAACTAATTAGACATCGATAACATAAGCTAATATAGAACAAAATCAAACCATCTGAACAAAATATTCTGATTGGAAATCCTGCAGACTAGAATCCAAAGTAGGAAATCTGATAATTTAATTTTCTTTAAAATTAAATTTCTCATTTCCATTTTCCAGTATCCATCTATAGGAATAAGATAAGCGACATTCCACTGCTTCGAAATAACTACGAGATTAATTGTGTCAATCAGCCTTTCGGAATATATCCACAAATAGCATTTATAATTAGTTTATTAACATTAAAGGAAAGGTCTGGTTTGACAGCTGTGAATAAAACGTACTTCGATTATACGAAAGAGCTAAGGCTTAAGCCTCTATCCAGATTCTATTCTCGCAATACTTGGTGGACAGGTACGGTTCCAAAACCAAAATTTAAAATAAAAGAAGTCTCCCAAAAATTCAAATCATTGCCTCCTGCAGAAAAGGATAGATCTATATAAAAGAAAATACCAGCTTATATCGGAATTTAGTTTTAATATATTATTCTTAACATAGATTTATAAGAAATGTGAACTCAAGTTTGTCTATCGTACTTTCAATTAAGGAAGACATCATGAAATCAGGTGTTTAGCCAAGAAATGGATGGATTTATGCAAAGCTGGACGTGGGATTAACAGATACATAAATAATTAATTTACCCACTGTTGGATAAATAATTAGTTGTCCGTAGTTTCTTAACTACTTATTCCTTACGTAAGTTTCTTTTCTTAAGTAAGGTCATGTCATCGGCAGAGAAATTTACACAACGCTACCACGAAAAATAATCATAATAATTTTTTTTTTTCATTTTTCGAATCTAAATTTGATTTATTTTCCATGATGTATTCGTCAAAATAACAAATTTTCGTCTCTTTATAAAAAAATAATTAATTAGGTCTGTTAGCTTGTTAGGCAACGAATTATTAGCTGAAAGAGAACCATGCCAAAAACCACTAGTTTACTCAAGTGATTCAAATTTATCATCTAAATAAAATTGTATTTAATAATCGAAAAGTTCAAAATATGTGTTTTTAAAACATTGTTAGTTAGGACTTCAATACCATTTCTAATAATAAACTACACATTTGATCTATTAGACCTAATTTATTTTGTATTTTATCCAACTGTTTACCTCTTTAGGTTTAGAGTTATTACGTTCGTGAAGAAACCTAACTTAATAAAATGAAAATAAAATAAAAATCATATGAGCTAATTTGCATCTGTAACATTTTCTAAAATAAATCTGAACGTTTCCTCATAAGATGATTATTAATAATAAAAACCTAATGAGGAGAGGTTCTGTATTGTACAAAAAGAATGTAGCCAGTGTTGCCCAATATCGGTCTTGCCCAACTATTAAAAGACTAAGATCAAGACTGGTAAAAAAAAAAAATCGATTTTTGAAGAAAAATTAAGGTAAAATAGTTACTAATGCTTGATAATTTAGTTACTATATGTAAAGAATTGGTATAACCAATATACTTTTGCATTTAATTCTACTAATTTTTCGTTTGGACTTAAAGAGATTTAAACCGGAATTAAAGAGACGGATCTAAAAAAATATAGTAATATCTCTATACTTATTGTTATAGAGAACTAATAGGAAACTACAGGACTGTTGCACAAGACCAAGATTCGTCTTGGCCTCGCATTTGGACAACACTAAATGTAACAAAGGAAAATTGGCAAAACGATTTCATTAAAATTTTACAAACCAAGGTAAGAAACCTTGGAAATGACCTAAGAGGCTGAAACGTTGTGTAAAGGAAAAATGAAGTAGGACTACAGAACCAAGTGAGTTTAATTTTAGAAATTAAAAATTTCATGAGAAAGATGAAAGAAGTCATTCAAGCTGTATTTCCACTAATAGCTGAAAGTTTCAAAAGAACTTTTAATTCTTAATCTAAAATCAGATAGCAAATTAACAGAACATTCTTGGCTACATGAAGAATTAACTACTTACCTAATTAAATATCAATATAAATTAGTAACAAACTAATCAAGAGACAGAACATAAATATAAGGTTACAATCGGGAAAATTCCAAAACATGCGATTGGATGTCATGGAGTGATGTTCGATTAGCTGTCCTTTACTGTCATGATGATGTCAGAATTAGCGAAACGTTGGCGGTTTTATTTTTTTTCTTTGTCTGCATTTCGGAGAATTGAGGATGTTTAGTTTGGAATGTTTCCAATTATAACCTAATACCGAATTAACTAATTTTATTTTATTTTAGTTGGAAATATATAACATTCATATAACATTCTGAAAACCATTAGCTGATCCCCCTCCGCAGGTTCAAAGAAAGCCATAGAGGGAGATGATATACGAGCTGGAAGTAATCGAAATCTTTCAGATACCTTTAACCGTGAAAATTGCTTCCAGGCCCGATGTCATACTGGCCTCACTATCAACAAAAGCCTCCTATATTATGGCTATATAAGGGAGATATAATACAGAAACTCGTGGAACCACCGGGAGATGAGGAATTAGAGAGCGTGGAGCTAGGGGATGCTTGGAGGGTGAGGGGGACAGATTTAGGGGGGTCGCCATGGCAACTGCGTCCTCCACACCCCCAACCACGGTGCAGTTTTCGTCAAGGCTACACGGCCCGTTTTATCTTTGGAGCCCGGAAGAGTCGCGATGGCTGAGTACATTAAGGAGAGGCACTTCAAAAGACAATAATGCACGAGGAAGGAGATAACGCCACAATGATTCATGTGTTACACGACGAAAGCATTTCCGTCCAGGGCGAGACCACCCGTGGTAATTTTCTCACGCATTCGAGTTTTATATTTTATTACTTCTGTGCACATGCTGTAAACAAGTTGACATTTTGTAGGAATTTGCATGCGAAACAAATCCAAGGTGACGAAATAGTTCGTGCATTTCAGAAGTGGAAAAGGACCTTATGCCTTCCTGTCACCTTATTTTTCTACCATCACTTGAAATATTTTTAACTACTATATCCCTCACAAAATTTATCAATAGTTTAGAATATGACCAACTAACAAAAACCTGATTAAATGGCAAGCATATTAGATAAGGTCAGCCATAATTTTGTATAATATATTGATTTATAAAGAAAATGTTCAATTATATTTATCTGCTTTATAGTCCGTGGTACAGACCCCTTTTTACCGAATTATTAATATCTGCCTGAAACTTCGTAAATAGTTTCATCTCATCGTACCCTAACAACTATTTTATTTACGAAAACTCTTGGAATTGGGACGTTTTCAATCTGGAGGGGGTCAAACTTTGTCTATTTAATTAGGTACCAAAAACTCGAAAATACACATTTCCTTTCTACTTATACTGTAACATAATTTGATCACGAAATCGATAAAAACGGTGGCTTACAAAAATATTGGGCCGTTTGTCCTGTATAATCAAAGTAACATAAGGGTTACTTTGGAAGAAAAAAAAACAACTAAAACATCCTAAAAATAACTCTTCCTAATGAATCATGTTTATTCATATATATACATAATATACTATTATCAATATAGCATACACAAACTTTAAAGTAAAAATTTACTTATTTTTTTTTAGAAATAGGTAATAAATAGTTCCATCCGTACTTGAAAAAATCATCTTAAAATTGTATAGACATAAGCCTTATCAAATTTTCGGTTCAACAAACAGAGACACGTATATAAAATGTAATATTTTCAAGCCAAAATAGCTAAGATGGATGAAGTATATTAGTACGTCAAACTCTAAATACGACTTATACCAACAAATACGTAACTACTCTGTTTCCATAGTTTACTTCACAGACCCATGAAAAATTGGGTACGGCTGACCTAATCATGCGAGATGTCTTACTACAAAGCTTATTGATGGGAGGAGAAAGCAATAAAATTTAAAATTTCTAAACAACTTTAATTATTGGGGGAGCCTGAGAGGTATAGAGTATTTCTACAATCTTAAAGTTTATACTTGAGCATTCTCGAGACTAAAGGCCCCGGTTCAAATCCTGCCTGAGGATGTAAACATTTATTTCGTGGCGGACCTACGAAATGAATCACGACCTTCCCACTCTAGTTACAATAGGGTTGGATGTACCTCTTGAACAACTCTTCGAATACCAGAAATGGCGAGGTAGGGGAATTGAGACAAAAAAAAGTAAAGAGAATTTTATGAAAATCGGAAATAATAATTTATTTTTCTGAAGGAACACGATATTGGTTATTGGGGGCGGGGAGGCCAAGCGAGCTGATTCACAGTTGTAAATTAGGTAATCTAATAAAGCGATTTAATATAATGAATACATTAAAATATGGCAGGATAATGAACATTAATATTGATGTGCAACTTATTTATTTCACCCAATTAAGACGGATGAATTTATAAATGAGCAATGGAAATGCATTAATTAATAAGCAAAATTGATGGTAATATCAATATGAATATATAAGTAATAAACAAATTACTTAAAAACATTAAATAGGTTAATGTTAGTTATAAATTTAAACTAAAATAGTTAATTCATGCACATACAAATCCAAAAATTAACTCACCATACAGCAATACTATTAATGGTAGCAATCTTTAAAGGTAAGACTTACCTGTAACAAACAATCAAAAAGTTATAGAACAATTCACTATCAATAAATCGTTTTTTTTAGGATAATATAACACCAAAGATGTGTATAATTTATATACAAGAATTAAGAAAAGAATAAAAGTGCTAGGATCATTGTCATTCAGAGGGCGTTACTGCCGTAAAATTCATTTCTATTCTAAAACTGGGATCGAACAATCGTCCAGGGCCTAATATACTCAATCTCGATAAAAATGTGGACCTAAACCTTCAAAGTATAACAGGAAATACGTGGATATTGAGGTTTATGAGGAAGCTACATCATCAGACAGCCTAAAAATTCTTGGAGAGGGTTAAAGCCAGTGAGACTTACTGCTCCTATCTCAAGATCTCAGAGATTCGAGTAAGGCTGTAGCAGATAATTATTTATTCAAATAAATTTGCTGTAAATCAATCCTGGGATTAAGAAACCCTCCACAGGCACACCCAGCCCCAATAATGTGGGGAGTCTAAATTACATAATTGAATCTAAATAATTGAGTCTAAATTACATAATCTAAATTGAGGAGTAAAACTTGGCGGTTAAGCGTAGTGTTGCCCAAATGCGAGACCGAAACAAGTCTTGGTCTAGCAAACTCAGTCTTGGTCATGGTCTTGCGCAAGAGTCTCGCAAAAGTCTTGTTAGTTACTTATTAGCTTATTACTGTAGAGATATTGCTGTAATTTTTTAGATACGAGAAATCTAACTAAGGTGGAATGAAAAATTAGAGGAGTTAAATGCAAAAGTATATTGGTTATACCAATTATTAAGATATAGTGACTAAGATTGTCAAGTATTAGTAACTATTTTGCCTTAATTTTTGTTTAAAAATCGATTTTTTTTAACAGTCCTGGTCTTTGTATTGCAACAGTTAGGCGGCCTTGGTCTTGGTCTTGCAAAGTCACCTCCCTGCACAGCCATTCGCTTGAAGCAGTACTTCTTTACAATATAATACTGAACTCAAGACTTCTATGGATTGTAGTAGTACAGTTTATATATGTATATAAAAGAATCACACAATGAACAAATAATGGGAGGTCCAAAATATCAATACATACATATTAAAATTTAATAAGCTATATAAAAAATACACCAATATTAAACAATACACAGCTCTACTGAATTAATAATAATATAACCTATACAATATAAATAAGCTAAAATAATTTATGGAGTGTTTACTTGAAGGAAGTTAGTCGACCGTTCTACATACCATGGGTGATAAATATTCAGGATGCAGTATTTTTAAATGTTTTATTTATGCCAACGTTTCAACCCAAACTTGTGGTTCAAGACCACGCAGTGCTCAAACCAAGCCCTGAAGATGACCCAAATGTTTGGGTTGAAATGGCATAAATAAAAAATTTAAAAAGACTGGGTCCTGAATATTTATCACCCATGATATGGAGTGTTTAACACACGAAAATTTAATGAAAGCAAATTGTTCCCTCATCCCTGACTCTCTCCCCCTCTCCCATACCTAAATGTTAAACACCAACTGGGCACTTTAAATTCTAAAGATAATATATGTATTCCTCTATGCATGAATACACCACCTTCCTGTATTTGGAAGTGAAGTGGAAAAAATTAACGACTATTCAAAGCAGGTGACTAGATAATAACAACAACGACCACGGATGATAATCGGAAACTGTCTGGTTTGGAAGTTGAGGTTTGGAGCGGACGCAGTGGGTCAAGGCCCTGAAGGAAATTGCGCCCTCAGGCTGCCTTTTATTGGCTTCAATACCCAAAGTGGCCAGTTCAAGTCTTCAAAGGTCTAAAATCAGAGATACCGCAAAAGAAAATGTATTTTTCAGAAAACGAGAATAAAATATTTTTTTAAATAAACATAAGATAACCTCATGAGGCCTACAGATTTTCCAAGGATCTAGTAGTCAAAACCTTTTTATAAATAAATAAACATATAATCATATCAAGTGATTTATAATTAACCCAGAATCCACAACAAATTGAAGAATATGACACCTAGAGGGGGGGGAATGTTTTTGAGATCGCACTATATTAATTTAAGAACTTTTGAGTTCAAAATAGAGATAAAAAAAAAATGTAAACTGTAAATTTCTTAGAATAAAGGTACGTATAAGTAACTAAAAATACAATAAGTAAATGCGAATTGCTATAATGGCACTAACAGACTTGTAGAGAAACTAGCCATTGGTGTAGCATTCCAATAATAGATCTCTACTAGAACGCTACAAGGACATCTTTTTGAATGCTAATGGTTTTGGACGGGCCTGGAGTTTATTGTGGAAATAGAGGTATCTGTTTTGGATTTAATCGGAAATATATTGAATCTTAAGGTCATTATTGAATTGAAATTATTATTATAATTTTGTGACAACTCCGTTATTGTAAAATTTAAAATGGATTGTTGCTATCTTCCCTTACAAATCATCATATTTTTCACACTGTTACAAATAAAGGAAAGGATGCTCTGATAGTGTATCCGAGAATTAGATTGTAAACAAACAATAAGGATTAAGATCTAAAAATACAAATAGAGAAGAATTTGGTGAGATTTCGGTTCGGGAAATAGGAGAACAACTCCTCTTTCAACTGAGTTTTTTGCAGAAGCTGGATGTTGAATGAAATCAGGTAAGTATGGAGGGGCGGGGAGGCCGAGCGGGCTAACGCGTGTGCATAGCACCATGCGTTGCCCGGCAACCGGATAACCAACTTTTGAAATAAACAAATAATAAGTTCAAATACCGGTGCCCGGTGGAGCTTTTAACTCGGCATAATTCCCCCGCCCTCTCTTCGGCCCGAGAAAAAACGTGGGTAGCCTAAAAGGCAAGGAAGGGGAGATAGAAAAAAAAAATGTTACTAAGGATGGCGGTATTTATTATTATTTTATATTCACTAGGTATATGCATTACCCACCACTAATATTCTGGCAATTACTTCATAAATTTTAGAGACTGAAAGAAGAAGGAAAAATGAGGATAAAAAGTTTTAAAAAATTAATAAATAAATCATGATAATCGGTATTAAGGATGACAGTCCCGTAAAACTTTAAACTTATATTAAAGATCTTTTGATTG